GAACTGCAAGTTTTTCGTACAAACAAACAATTTTGAAAATTTATTTTTTGCCTTCTTTGATTTTAAAATAAAACTATGGAAAATGAAAAGGTAAACCTTACTACCTTTGATTTTAAACTTTTCTTTTTATTCCCTACCTATTCTGACCACACATAATCCGATATCATGTTCCGAGAAAATAATCCCAAGACGTAATCCTCAAATAGAAAAGAAAACTTTCAGTTTCGCTTCAAGTGAAATTGAACTTCCCAAAAGAAGAAAATAAACCCAAAATTATAAGAAAAATAAAAACTGCATTCCATTTTTGTTTACATTCCACAAAGAGCGGAAAGCGACATCTTCGGTCAAAGTGATGGAAGAACTTTCCCGGCTGAGGTAAAAGTTGCTGCCAGATTGATCGGCTTTAAGCCGCTCCGAGTAAATGGCTAACAAACACTAGACCGTCCACTACTAAATGATCATTAAGGTGCGTAAAGCGACACCAAAACTGGACCGACAGACCGAGTTGTATTTACTTTTTCGGCATTGGTCACCATCGTCGTCAGCATTAGACATTTTGTCCTAATTACACAGACGACAAACCGAGCGGCTAACAGTTCGCTTAGGCTTCAGACTTTTCAGGCTTATGGTGGAGCTTGATTGGCGACGCGACGCGCCAACAGCGACGCATGTGCAACTTCACTTTCCATTTAATCTCGTTTCGCTGGTGCCGGGGAGGCAGTGGGGCCTGGCGTTGGGAGGGTGCTGCCGGTCGTGGTGGTGCAACTGCCGCCGCACAATTTGTCCCGTGGAAATCGAAAGCCGATTTTCATGTCAATATTTTTGTTTAATAAACTGGCCGTCGCGAGTCGTCTGCGCATGCGGAAAATATGCAAATTACCATCGACATCGACGTGCCCCCTTGGGCGATGCAACGCAACATAGTTGCACACAGAAAAAATAATAATTATTTAAAAATTATTATATGGGAAATGGTTTTTTAAGGTCTCAAATCACTTTGATCTTATTGAACTAAAAAACATCTCGTTTAAAATCTAAACAATTTGGAATATCCGAACATAATGGATAATTATATAATAAATGGCATGGCATTTAATAAAAAACCCCTTATAAAATTTTGAAAAAATTGCAAAAGAATTAAATTCTCCAAGACATTGCTAGAAAGATACTCCTGTTAATTTTGATCAAAATTATATATGATTTATGGGGGGTGGTAAATGACTTCTTCACTGCATTTCAAGCTTCTCTCTGAAATTATAATACCCTGCAAGGGTATAGAAATACACTTATCTAATTAATCTTAAGAACCTTTATAAATTTCATAAATAAATCAATATTTCTTTCAGTGTACTCACACAGCTATAGATACTCTCCCAGCCAGCCAAGTTGCGTTGACCGATTGAACGAAAGTGCAGGCAACCAAGATACGGATGAAAGATGAAAGTTGTCCGCGAGTAGAATGACGATGCTGAAAGTGCAAGTGGCTTGGCATATCGAACGATCGATGTAAGATGGTTACGGGCTATGGAAGCCAACAGATCGTGGACTGGTGTGTCAAGCCAGGTAGCGAGAGTGGATTTTAAGTCCATTAGCTGAGCTCCATCTCTTCGCACTCTATATAGAAAATATATAAAATTGTACTACAAAATCAATGAAGATGAGTTTAAAGGTGTCATATTTTTCGAAGAACTTCTAAACTTTGGAAACTCAAGACTATATTTTTCAAGCCTTTCCCTTTACCCAAATCCTGCCGCCACCTAGCCAGTTAGTTTCCACATTTTTGTTAATTTTCTTTTGGCCGGAACTGGTGGACAATTTGGCAAAATCGCAGCGGCTAACGAAACTTGATTTTCCTTCGCATTGGCCATGGTAATTAATCAAACAACTGCCATCCGCCGAAAAAATAAATGTGAAAAACGATGGGGATAAACGCAAAAATGGCGTCTACAATCGAGCAAATCAAAAAGCCTGGCTGAATTGTATATCGCATAGGTGCAAATTTCGCTCAAATTTATATTAATCGTCTTAAGTTGCTTGGAGGGGGCAAGTAAAGATACTGGTTCGCAACGATCGGTGTCCACCAATGTTCAAATATGCTAAGCTTGCCAGCGAGAATAGGATTCCATTAGCAACATGGTCGGAAACTTGCAACAATGTTGCCAGCGAGATGCGGCAATTACACTTGAAAAATAAATGGTTTGTAATAAAAAGAAAGTTTAAAAATAATGTAAATTATATAAACAAATGAAGAAGAGTAATTTTTGATCCTTATAGGAAATATATTTCAACAGCCGAATTAATTTAGCCAACAATATTTTTGATTTCTAATACCTAATTTCAAGGTTTGGTTAATATATTTAATTTTTATAAGAATTAAAATAAATGAGCTTTCCAGGCTAAGTTTAAATAAGTGCTATAAACTCTAAAAGCCTCATTAACCTCAATTAATGGTAGAATATGTTTACCCTTCTGTTGCACCAATAAATTTCTTAAAGTGTAATTCCATTTGCCATGGTCCCCCATAGGTGATAAGAAATAATTGAAAAGATTGTCGGGCATTTGAATCGATTGAATGGGCTGGCAGGGAAAAAGAAGGACCGCGCTGGGCTATAATTAGGCGATTTGCGATTGTGTACGATTGTGTGCGTTTGTGGGCAGAGGCAAATGTTTATGTTATGTCAATTGCCGACCACACAGGCAAAGAACCCCCAGCCAGATGGGCGGACGGGGCCAGGGGGTGAGGTGGTGCCGCCCAGTGACTTCCAAACTGTGCACTGCCCTCCGTCATTAAGGTTGCGACGAGTCTGTCTGTCTGTCGTCTGTCTTCGCCACTTTGCTTTCTTTTCGCTGAGCTTGCAGTCTTGCCACAGTTTCCCTTCCATCTGCATGGCCCTGTCGTTGCCTTAATTGTTTTATTGCATTTTCAGCGGGTGAGAGAGGCAAACTTTCTATTTGCACATTTTCACAGGAAAAAATATTTAATTTTCTTCTTCTTTTTTTTAGTTTTTGTGGACTGAAAATGGCTTGAAAAATGCATAGCGATAAATGTTGTATGTTTTTTTTATTATTGAAGATGCTGCTGGTGACAGTAACAATATTTGTCTTCCGCCTAATTACAAATGGGAAATTTCGTATAGTGACTTGTCACTGTTTTTCCTATGAGAGAGTCTTGCTGTATTTTTGCTACTAGTCTTAGTCTTATTGTCTATTTCAATTCAACTTGAAATACTCCTAAACTTAGAAGATCTTAAATAATTTCATAAAGTTATTGAACTGCTCAAATTGCCAGGAAAAAGTTTGAAACTTTGTTCCCATCTTCTGTAAGGGCAACCCCTTTTATTTTTTAGCAGTGAAACCGATTGTTTGCTAACAATTTGGCTATTAAAGGCATTTTTAACCATCGTTAGTTAGAGCAGCTCCCCTGTTTAATGGCTGTCAGCAGTTGAGCGAGTTTCGCATCGAGCAGCAGCAGCTGCCCTGCGATCAATTCAGCCTTAATTATGCGTTTCATATGGAGCACCGGCAATGGCCACAGTCAACCCTTTTTATGTGCAAATCTTAGCGCGTTTTATGAGCCGCTCATTAGAACGCGAACATGACCAGGAGACGGACACGCTGCGTATGCCAACAATTGCTGGGATGGGGCTGCGGGTCTGCCAGCCGCTGCCGCGCCTTTATGACGTTAAGATGTCGACAACAATGGTAGACGTAGACTGAGGTTGCCAAGGCAAGAACACTGTGAGAAAATACAACAAAATATAATGGTACGGTCACAAGAAAGCTTATTTTCTTCCTGGTTTTATGACAGGATCGGTATAATTTGCTATTATTTTACTTTGTAATTTTTTGAATGCTTTAAACAGAGCAACAGACCTCTCAATCATTTAATAAATAGTATTTATAAACATAGTTTGTCGCAGCGTAATGGCAGGCGGAGAATAAGATATAGACGCAGACCGAGTGCTCTCGGCTCATTATAATGGGCGGCACTTTATTTAAATGCGCCACGGCACATCATTAACAAGGCAAATGCCATACCATGGGGCCTCAGATCTGTTCAGATGCGTTCTTGGTTCACTTTCCTTGGAGAGGAGAGCCCAAGGATGTTTGTATGTTTATGTGGATGGGTTCTAAACCGGCAACGCAGACCGCACGCACTTTCCGATGGAAAGGGGAAACCGGGCGTGCAGTGCAGCTGAGCAATGGGCAGATATTTTATAATATCTCAATTGATGAGAGGGGTTTCCATCAAGGTCCAGAGCACAGTGGGGCAAAGAATAATCATGGGAAATTAGAATCGAATACTAAAAATAAATATTCACCGCTCTTGTCGTCTTATGACCTGTTGTTGATTCGAAATTTATTGGGTTCACAAATTGAACCTTTTATATTTTATATATTTTTTCTTAGAATTGAATTTAAAGGATTTCTTGGAAATCTGAAAAAGAAATAAAAAATAAATAAATACGTTGTTATCAGTAAAGGCATATATATACATACATACGAATGTAGATGTGCATTAATACTTTGTTATCAGTTATATTATAAAAAGTTTATAATTCTCTAATTAATAAAGATGCGTTATTTTTATCAAGAAGTCTTGATGTTCTAGTTTTTAAATTTAAAAAATATACATAGTTAATTAATACTTTATTTAATAATTATTTAATTTTTAAGAAATTACTTTTATTTGCTTAAATAGATAATGAATATAAGTAAGACGCTATTTTAAAAGCCCTCTGCTTTTTTCACACACTATTTTCTTCCTTAACATATACTTTTATATTAAAAAAATAATAATAATTACAAATTAGTGAACAGGTATTAAGCCTTCGGCGTGGTTGCTCCTCCGCTTGAGATTTGAGCAGCGCAGCGCAGCTCTTCATTATCGCGACTTGTCCTCTTGCAGCGACGGATCACTGATAGCAATTGTTTATTTTGCAGCTTCTATATAAGCAGGAACCATCAACGATATTTATTTATAATTAATTGCAGTCCTCATGAATCGACTGGTGAGTAAAACATATTTTGAAGACTAGCAAACAAATATTTATTTTCTATTTAATTGACAGGTATTTGTTGTCGTTGTGGTCCTCGCAGGCTTTCATCTTGTGAGTCCTGTTCCCAATAACGGAGGCGGATATGGACAAGGTGGAGGCTTTGGAGGCGGTTTCGGAGGCGGTCAAGGTGGAGGTGGATTTTTTGGTGGCCTCTTTGGTTCCATAGCTAACATCGTTGACGAAAGTATTAAACTTGGACAACGTAGAAAACAGCAGCAACAATACGAAAATGGACAGTATGGCGGAGGACCTTCTTACGGCGGTGGCGGGCCTTATAATGGAGGACCTTCCTACGGTGGTGGCGGACCTTATAATGAAGGACCCTATAATGGAGGATCAAATGGAGGCGGGCCATATAATGAAGGACCCTATGGCGGAGGACAAAATAATGGCGGCCAAAATGGTGGCAGTCAAAGTGGTGGATACCCCATCATGGACATGAGTGCTCGTCGAGGCTACGGTTCCAGGCAATACAACCGATATTATCAACCAAATCAACAATATTATCCCCAATATAATGGACGACAGTATAGGGGCAAATAATTATCGAGGTATATTTCCAGATCTAGACTTTCGGACATCTGCTGGCTTCGCCATTCTAAACGGTTTTACTGATTTAAAATATCAAACAAATAATAAGCTATTTAAAGAAAGAAATATTGTTTTAAATGTTTTATTTTTCTTAATAATTTGTAAGCTTTTTTCATAAGAACTGGAAAATTAAACAACACAAATGGTAACTAATTTGAAAATAAAACAAAATAAATGTTTTTCAAGCACAAAGGAAATACTTAAGTTTTTATTATTATTATTGATTTAAGAAATGAATAAACACAATTGAAATATTTATGTGCTTATTTGGAAAGACTTTCATTTATAATATATTTTATATTATATATATTTTTGTGTACCACCTTATCTCAATTAAGCAAGACAAAAATCCATGAAAAAAATACAAAGAATTGTTAATATATTATTCCTCAAATTCTTGTTTTGTGAAATATTTTAATCTAGCTTCAGCTTCATCTATAAATGCGAACGCAACTTGAAAATTAGTTCATTTCAAGTTCGCAAACAAAATGAAGTGGCTGGTAAGTTTGTGTTGCCTCTTAGTTTACGCATTGTACATATAACATTTATATTACGTTTTTTAATTACAGACATTTTTATTTGTGATCTTTATTGGCATTCACCTTGCCACTCCTTTTTTTTGTCAACGACTGTTTGCTTTTACTAAAGCCATCATCGAAGGAGCATTAGATGGAGTGGAAAATTATTTTCAATCTCAATCTGGGCAAAAACTTGTCGGTGGAGGGGAAAATCATAGATCCCAATCATATCCCATCATTGATTTACGCCGCAATAGGACAAGTTTTAACTGAACATCTGATTCACCACAAATAGAAATTAAGAACATTTTGAAATGTACCACGATGTTGAAATATAATATTGGTCACAATATATATGCATTTAAAATGAAAAAATGTTACCTATTGTTTATCAAACACTAGAATAATTGCAAAGGTTGATTTTGAGCAAGTCTTTGGTTTTGGGATAAATACATATAAATTCATATTCAGGCTGCAGGCCCACTCATTGCCACAATCGCAAAACAAATAAAGCTAGCGCTGATAAATGTCATCGACCGTTTTCAGTTTGGTTGAAATAACGATAAGAATTAACAGATTAGTCTATGTATATATGTACTTAGTCTTTTCAGACAGAAGAGCCTCTGCATTATCTCCCGAAAGCTACCCTAGCGACTTAAAAACAACAAAGTGATTTTATTTTTATTGAATTCCCAATATAGACTTTCTATTTTCAATAAATCAATAAAAAGTAGAGGCCATAAGATCTCACGATGACAGGATTTTGACTCAATTTATAATAGATTGAATCCAGAGATTGTAATTATTGTACCTCTTATTTAGAAATTTATTATAAATGAAGTTTTTATTATTGGATAAGCTTATAAATTGTACTTGGTTGCAGATATATCTAAATAAAAATAAAAAGTATTCTGCATTTGCATTATCCCTAGCATTCAAACACAACATCTTAAAGTCTTGGTTGACTGCTTATTAAGTTGATTTGATTTTCCGCGATTCAAAACCCAATGTACCTTCATGGGGCGCCTTAATTGGTTTCGTAGAATTTGCCGTGGACCCTTCTCGATGATGATCGCTTCGTTTACCTGTTCGCACTACACTACCCCCCCTCCAGTACCATCTTCTCGTCCGCCCCACTTTCCTATGGATTTCACCTATTACTTGTTCTGAAGTTCTTGGCTTCTTCTTCTGCCTGATAATTATGGTCGCAACTTGGTTTGGGCCTGGGCTTTAGTGAGTTTGCAAATTACCCTGCAATTGCAACAACTCAGAAGGGATAAGCGGAATTTGCTTTAACTACAGCTTTCTGCTTAAAAGTCCTTGATTGATTAAATAGAACATTTAAGAAGATTTCCTCAATTAAAACTATCAGATTAAATCACTGCCGACGAACTCAAAGCCGAATTAAACACCTATTAAGACATCATTGGTATTTTTGTATTATCATATTTTGTTTTGGCCCCGCAGTCGTATCAATCAATCAATCAATCAAAGCGCATCCAGCAAAACGCCAATTTATGTCAGTAGTTCCGCTCATCCTTGACACAAAATTCATACCGAGAAGAAGAAAACCCATACATAATAATACACATGCATAACATTTATGCGTAATTACCGAAGGTGGCTAAATGGACGTATCCCCCCCCTTGGCAGTAAATCAAACAGCCCACAAATATTTACAAAATCATAAACGAAACCTACAAGTTTGCTTTGATTTAATTGCTGTTCGGTCTTGTTTGTCCGAATATTTTGGCCAACCTTCGTGGGAGGCAATTTGCCAGTAGTTTTTTTTTATAATGTTTATGTATCCAAACTTAATTACGCGCGTGTTTCTGTCAGATGACCAAGCCAATCTTTTTACAATGAAAAGACCTGAGGCCAAAAAAAATAGTAAAACAAAAGCAAAACCGAAAAACTGAAGTAAAGTTCCAAGAAGTTCGAAATGGAAAAAGCACTACAACTTTTCTAAGATACTAACAAGATCTTTCATATCTTATTAAAAAAATATTTCAAAAATATTTAAAAAGTTTATATAGTTTTTAATATTAAATATACAAACATTAAACCAAATACTTCAGCTTAAAATCCCCTGAGATCAGGTTTCCTTGCCTGTTTATTTATGGTTTGAGGTCTGAGGGTTTAAGCTAGCGAATGCCGCTACGCCCAGGGGAACGTTTATTCAGAGTCTTCGGGGCAACATAATTTTGCACAGAAATTATTAGCACTTTATTATTATTTTTTTGTGGTTGTTACGCCTCTTTCTTGTACGCATTAGCACTAAATTCAAAAAACCCACGAAACCCACACCAGCACACGGGCCAAATTGTTCACCTTTCGTTTTGAGGAAGAAATTTTAATGAACACTTGGCAACATGCTGACAAAAGCATGTGAATATGTTTAAAATTGGTTTGGAAATGTATTTTGAAAATAAAAAAACCATGTAAAAATATAAAATAATATTTACAAAATATTTTCAAATAGTAATTGAAACTTTATACGTTTAGTCTTTGTGTTTAATGTAAGCCTTAATCTAACTAAGCTTTGTAGCTATAGCTGTAAATTATGTAAATTGTAAAAATATTAAATTTTACAAACTAAAATCCCGGAAAGCCTCTCACTCGCAGCCATATGTCATCGCTGATTTCCTGAAATACTTGTCGTCTCTTCCTGCTCATCATTAATGTCGTCAGCATCAGCATCACATAACGATCGTTCAACTCTCTCGTTGACCATTGAAACTATTCGCATGACCCCATCGGGGGAATCGCTTGCACCTCCTATTGAAAACGTGAAAAGCCGCAGAGCTGGAAAACCGAAAAAAAAAGAAATACAGCACCAGCTGACCGATCGTGAACTCTGCGGTTGTCGGGCAGACATCTTCACCTCTTGTCGACTTTCCACGCTTCCCATTTCCATTTCCATTTCCATTTCACTTTCTTTTGCACAACGCGATGCCGCCAAGAGATGCTTCCTCGCAGCATCGCGTAATTAACATTCAGCGCTCGACTCGACTCGACTCTTTTGCCACTGATGCCAGTTACCAGTTGCCAGTTGCAGTGCCGTTCGGTGTTCGTAATGAGGAAACAAATGTTGTCAAATGCGTTGGCGGTTGGGCGCTAGCTCGATAAGACAGAAAAAAACAAAAACACTGCAGCTGTGCGGGATGTCATTGCACTCCCACTTAGATGGAGCTCCCAGAGTCACCTCAACATTGCCAATAAATGAAGTTCAGCCAGGCACCAAGTGTAATGGAGCTTAATGTCAAGGCTTGAATTGGGAAGAGTATTCAAAAGAGCTTTTGTACCCATTAAAAAATTGTTATCATGAGTTTGAAGATAAGAAAAATAACCGTTTTTTTCCCACGAATCACAAACAAACTTAAAATGATTTGCCAGTTTTTGGAATTTAGAGCTTTTAGAATTTGTTTTTATTTTTATTTTATTGTTGCCTTTATTTATAAAAAAATGTCAATTGCCTTAGATCTTTCAACTAAATAGTAGCTACGTGCTACAATTTGTGGCATGTGTGTGGCTCTGTGAGTAGCAGGTTCCCATAGAGCAAAAGGCAACATCCAGACAAAGCTTTTAGCCAAGTTTAAAGCAGAGAACGTTGATGTAGATTAGAAAAGAAAAGCGCAGTATAATAGGTAATAAGTGCAAGTCTTAGACTCATTTCGAACGTGTTAAAATGATACTGCAGATGCCCCGGAAGCCAAAATAAATACATTATGTTAACACGCTATGTGAATGTGAGTTTTCCGGACTTTAGGATACTGTAATGCTCTTTTTTTAAACTGAAATATATACATTGTTTCATATGTATTTGTTAGCTTTGAATTTTATAGCTTATTATTCCATAGAATATATTTTTATTTTTAAATTTTGTATACCCTACCATTTGGCTAATTTCTGTTCTGTTCTCCCTATTAAAAAGCAAAAGGCATGCAAAATGCAAAAGCAAACAGCTAAAAATCGACAGCAAGCCAAAAAATAAAAATAAAAAAAATATTAAATGGAAAATTTGCAACCGGCAAACCGGCAACCGGCAAAATTCAGCCTGCCACCGCGATATGAGGCGAGCTCAACAATTATTATGCAGCAGCAAAAATCCACTCGAGGCGTTGCCCGCAGCCAAGTCGCTGCCAAGTGATTCTAATGATGCTTCTAATGATATAGTCAAAAGCGAAGCGCAACTCGCTGCTGCGAGGGGCCCGGAGAAGGAGTCGGTAGCAATTGCATTCGGTTAGCCATTTGGTGGAGCCAAAGTCAGTCTGCATTAACCCTTAACCAGCCTGATGCCTTGCTGATGCAAGTGTTAAGGAATTTCTTTGAAGATTTTTAAATAATACTGAAATGTATTAAATAAATTTAAGACATAAAGGAGTTGCTTTTTGTAGAAAATACTTCGTTATATGGAGCAATTCTCAGAATATC